TAACAACACAATAGTTGAATGAATTTTCAAACAACCTTTATGTTTCATTATCGTTAACAAATGATGATACATCAAAATAAAATTCATAATGAATTTTAATGGTGGATCTATTGTGTACCATCATGTTTAGTGTTTATTTTTATTATTATTATTACTACTACTATTAATTTACTTTTATGAACATGAAATCAATATGAAAACTGTAATAGTGTAATTGGATTAACGAAATAAATTGTTTTGATTATTCAAAGTACTAATTATCTTATATGGATGTAATTTGATTCTAAAGGTTAAGTTCTATCTATTCAATATGTTATAATGAAGCAATTGATTAGCTTTTTTCAGTATATATGATCTTATCTTATTTGATGGACAGTGAAAATAACATGGTTTCTGTTATATCTGTTTTTTTTTAAAAAAATATTTCATACGGCCAATAAAATATATCCAACTGATCGTGTTTCACTGGTTGAAATCATGAGTCAATTGAAGCTAAGACCACCATGGAAAACCTGGAAACACTGGATGGCCGTTTCGTCCTAGTATGGGACACCTCAGCTTCAATTGACCCATGATTTCAACCAGTGAAATTTCTAAAATCTCCACAAAACCCATTCTAATGATCGTGTTTATTTTGACAATATAATAATACGATTTCAGTAACTGTTATAAAAACAAATATTTCTATCGATCGGATATTATATGTGAAGTAATTGAATGCACTTTGAGCATACTTGAACTAAACTAACTTATTATTGAATATATCTTGCTTCTAATAGGTTCCTGTCTATTGAATATGTTAATTTTATGAATTTTAAGCTTACCTAATAAATTATTTATCATTGATAAAACAAATACTAATAACATCATGAATGACATCTATTATCATTTATTTTCATCTTTAATATAAGTGTTTTCCGTTGTTGCTTTTTATTGCCCTGGATTTTTTTCCTACGGATTAGATTTGAGAAGTAATTTGACGTGTTTTAAGCTAATTTAACATTTTGATACCAATAAAACATACAAATAATATGCAGTCAGTTCAAGTATGTTTTATAATCTTGAAGAGAGGAAGAACAAAGATTGATCCAGAATAATATGAATTTCGTTAGGTTTTCATCAGCTGCTTATAACCTAAAATATTTGAAAATCAATGTTAGCACAGATATGGACATACTTATACATACGAGGGTGATTAAAGATGAATATATGTGTCATAATGTAGTGAAGATTTCAATAGAGTTAATAAGGTCATAAAAATTGTTTGTTTCGGATAAATAAACTTTGAGAGGGAAAGTTCTAGAGCATTGAAATAGGGATTAGAACTCATGGAGTTAACAAACTTCAGAAAGAGTTGAAATAATGAATAATATCACAGAATCAGTCAATATGAGACTAAAAACTGCATTGACAAGAACTTATTCTGCAGCTAAACTGATTGTCCTATCCAAAGTAACATGTTTTTTAACAAGGATCGATAGGTATCCCTTTCATGTTACCACCAACTGTGTATACAAATCTACATGTATCTCCCAAAGTAATTAAATTGGTCGAACAGAACGAAGAGCCTATGTCCAATTCAAAGAAGATTTTCCGAAAAGTGTAACGTCAAATGGATCAAAATCATTCAGCAGTGCCATCGCAAGACATCCTGATAAAGGACATGAAGTCGATAGACTGAAGTCCTTCAAGATGATTAACAAACAATCAAACTCCAACCTTGTGAAATTTGCCAAAGCGATAGCAATCAAACGCCTAAAACCAGATCTGGTAACATTAAACCCCATTTTTATTTATTACGTCATTCATTATTTCAACTTTTTCCGAAGTTTAAATTTATATTACATCATCGTTATTTTTCTTCGAACCATAACTGATTAATTTCAATCCATATCTTCAGTTGCTTCATTACTCGTCCCCTAATTGATAGACGGATATCTCGCCTTCGCTATAGGTGACATACTTTGGCGAAAGCCAAACGAGCTTTTCGAATCCATGCTGAGATTTCGTCAGACACCAACGCATTAGAGCTGATCAGAATCTTAAGATAAGTGAAGTTGTCAACGCGTTCGACTACTTTACTCTCTATCCTTAATTCAGGTGTTGACACAGGCCAGTCCTGAAGAAACAACTTGCATTTAAATGGAGAGAAGCGCATCCCAAACATTCTGGCATTGTTGTTTAGTGCTACCAAGAGACTGTATTATATCAGCGTCTTCATCAAACAGAACTATGTCATCTGCGTACTTTAAGTCAAGGAATACTTTAGAAAACAGTAGGTTTTTCATATGTTCATAAACAATCTCAGGTTTTTCTAAAATTATAACCATTTTTATTAGTATACCAGTGATAGGCTGTGGAGGATGTTGAGCTTCGTCGAGATTATGAACCAACCAATGTTAAATTACTACTGACAACCTGGGTGTACTAGACGGTTGTTTCGTCTACGTGTAAGACTCCTCAGCACTGCTCATTCAACCGCGAGTGCGATATCGTTGGTTGGTTGAAGTTGAACATTAAGACCATTTGAAGTCAGCACAGTGATTGAGAGGTCGAGCGTTTGCACGTGAGAATGAAGGTCGTGTGTTTAATCCCCGTATGTGGAATAGTGAGTGCACACACCCGAGTCCCATACTAGGATAAAACAGCTGTCCAGTCCTTTCAGGCTTTTAGAAGTGGTCTAACATTAATTGCTTCATGATCTCAATGAATTATATTTATAAAACTGGTGGGTAAATTATGCAAATGATTACTCTGTATAATCAATTAACTATGAAAACGTTTTGAACTTTATGATATTTAAACTACAATAGCTCCAGTTTTTCAAGATTTCTAACAAAGAACATTTCTATCCACAGAATTATTTCATAATTACTTTGATCAAATTTATTTGCGGAAGTTTAAAATCATATTCAAATATACTAGATGCATGATACTAACAGTTTTTAAAATTAAAAACTACCTTACGTTTACCAGGAACTATACACTGATATAACAGTCTAATGCCTAGCTTACTTAAATCAAGAATCGAATGCGTGATTCTACGGGAGTTCATTCGTGCAGTAAATTAGGGTTTACAAATATATTTTCTGGAGAATGATGTGATTGACATAATAAAGTAGCTGATTGATTTTGACTACATTTAACCAGCTAGAAGTATAACAAGTAAGCCTGTATATATTTTTAATTGTTTACAATAGACTATTTTGCACCTGACATATGATTTAGAAGTATCCAACCAGAGAAAATGATAGCAAACAACTCAAAACCGCCACCATTCTGACGTATGAAATAATGTATGGCTTTCGTGACAGATTTCAAGATCAATTGTGTTAACAGTCTAGTTGACCATTACATCTATGTACTGAATCTCAAACTAAACTCAAGCAACTGTTTATGATCCCATAACTTATTGAATACTCTTCTAGAAATATACAATACTCATAAACTTCCCATTCATTTATTTTGTTTATTTCCAAAGTAAATTCCACACTTTTAATAAAACGTTTAAATAATATATTTTCGCAAATATCCTCTTTTCTTTAATACTGGTAGGTGTTATTATTCAGTATATAATAGGTTGTATATCACTGTAAATTCATTCCCTCAAAAATGAAGCAAGAAACATAAGTCACTATTTCTTTTATGAGAACTTCATAAAGTTTATTGAAAGTCAAAGTAATTTAAATGATTACATATTGAAATGAAGACTTAAAATGTGAAACAGATCGAGTGCAAATTAACAATAGGCTTACAACTTTATATTATGAATAAAAAAATTATTTTATTAAAATTGTTATGAATTTTAGTAAATTGTTCCCATAGTTTGCAATCATTTTATTATATTTTACGTCCTATCAATTGGTCTGATAAGTACACAAAATACATATATGTTGCCTATTCTATTAATAAGGTGAGGACATTTAAAAACCTGTAAAAATTTCTGGTCACAATATAAATTTAGAGTACATTTTCAAAATCCCAATGGATAACTAGATAGATTAGTTTTTGTCGAAATGACAACTAATAACTGAATGAAGCTAATCATTATCTCTATTATATTCACTAGGAAATAAAAATAAAAAACAAATCAATAAATAGAGTTTGAAGAACATAAAAAATATTTGGTCAGTAGAGTTGTGTAAATTGTTAAGGTTTGATTGAGATCATGAATCGATCGATGTGAGACTACCATTGAAAACAAGGAAACATATGATGGTCGTTTCGTCTTGGTATGGGACTCCTCAACAGTGCTCATCCACGATCTCACACGCGGGATCCGAACGCAGAACCCTCACTTCGCATGTGAACACTTAGCCTCTAGACCACTGAACGAGAATCCATTGGTGAGAATGGTTAGCCTCATTGAGTCTATCATATTGCGCGACCATCCGTGTCGAGTGTGAGGCAGTTACCCAACGAAGACAATGGAAGATAGTCGCTCAATATGGTGGATTGTTTGAAGTTAGACATTAATACCGCTAGATGCCGACTCAGTTGTCGCAAGATCGGGCGGTCACATGGGACTGAAGGTTCTGGATTCAAATCCCATGTACGAGATCGTGGACGTGAACTGCTCAATGGTTCCCACACTAGGATGAAACGGCCGTCCACCGTTTCCAGGTTTTCAATGGTGGTTCATATTGATTGATTCGTGATATCAATCAAATAATTGATCATTCGCTTTAAAAAAAAATTGTAACTAATTAAGAATTTGAATAAAGAAAAGATTTGTAATATAGTTTATTTCACTCAAAGCCCAAATCGTTTAGTTGCATCAAACTTGTCCCTTTTATTCCGTGCTTCCCGTCAGATATGGAGATCTTCATAATCCATTCAATTACCAGAAGAATGAGAAAGGGGAGAGTAGACAACCTTTTCTGCCTCCGGTCCTCACTTAAAATGCGTCTGTCAGCTAACTTCCATGCACCGCGTTGCACTGTAGTCCGTCGTATGAATTCCGTATGATGTTGACGATTGTCTCAGGTACTCCATTGTGTCGAAGAAGTCTCCGTAACGTTCTCCCATCCACACTGTCAAATGCTTTCTCATAATCAAGGAAGTTGATAAATAGTGACGAGTTCAATGATTATCCTTAGTGTTGCGATTTGGTCTGTGCACGACTGATACATACGAAATCTAGCCTGTTGATCTCGAATCTGGACGTCTACTGAACGTTTCATCCGGTTGTGTGGAAGTATTGTACCGCCTATAACCGTCTATAACATATATTTGCGAAATCTCTCCCCATTTTCATTTCTCTCTCCCAATTCATGTCGTCCCATAATATCTTCATAACCCTTGTTGTTCATTCCGAATTTGGCGTTTAAGTCTCCCATCAAAATGTTCAGGTCCTTTCTTGGGCACTTCCCTATGATTGATTTTAGCCTCTCATATGACTGATCTTTATTGTCGTCGTTGCTATATTGGTGGATACATAGCATTGGATAACATTCATTGTGATCCCCCCTTCTTTGTTTTGAAGCATGCTTTGATGATCCTGGATCCATCAGATCCCCACCCAATATCTCACTTCGTGCTTTTTCGGACAGCATCAGAACAACTCCCTGAGTGTGTGGAGCATCGTTCTCTTTGTAACCGGAGTACAGCAGCATCTCTCCTGTATCTAGCCTTTGCTGTTCAGCTTGAGTCCACTGGGTTCCGCTGGTTCCGAGAACCGCAAAGTTGTAATTCCTCATTTCCGTTGCTATTTGATTGACCTTCCCAGTCTCTCATACTGTTCAAATATTCCGTGTACCTATACTATTTGTTGCTCTGGTTGCTAGGAAGGACATCAGCTTTGTGACTTCCGAAGAATCTCGCCTTTCACCATGAGGTGTCATAATTCTTCCTTAAACTCACTAGAATAGAGTTTAAATGGTTAAATTTCTTTAATCTGTTTAGCTTTTGCAGCAAGGTTGTTTTCTATGGGATGAGGTTGCTGACTACATGTCGGCTTGGAACCGGCAGTAGCCCTAGAAGAGCTACAGATGGAGTTGTAAGGAAATATTTCTATATTTTCAAAGCATTCCTACATTACTTTACTTGAATTTCAATAAATAATTCTTTTTTTATGTAATTCGTAGTGTAGTGGCTGTGCTTCGATAATTAATCACCCTCGAACCGTTATCGTATAATCTTCAACGATGTTTGAAATCAGAAGGCAAAAAGAAGCAGCTACTACAGTTTATTTAGCAGATGATTCGGACCAGACAGCAGAGAGGCAAAATGAATGAGCAAGCGAACTACGATTGTAGCAGTAGCAAGTAGTTGTAGTAGTAGTAGTAGTAGTAGTAGTAGTAAATGGGTGCAAATGTACACATATATATATGTATAGGAAAATGGATGAGTCAGCGAATAGATTAAGCAGTTAATAATGAAGCTAGCCGGATGAATACATGCGTAGGCGCTAAACAATGTTCAAGCATATGTATTTCATACAAGCATAATAATAAAGATAGTACAACAAGTTGTTATACCATGGATGACTTTGTCCATTAAATAGGTCAACAAAAGGCCTTGACTGAACTAAACTCAATTGCACGTGAGTCGCTATAATAGCTCCCCCCTGCAAACAAAGATATATGGAAAAATGTCTGTGTTTGCACAAAAAATAGTAAACTGAGCAGGGTAGTTACAATCGTTTGAAACAAAATGGTTTGTACAAAATTAAGATGAAGTTAGTGTGTGCTGTACATTTGGTTTGTGCCCGTCCGTGAGGTTATAAAAAATAATAGCAATAAATAGAAGGAATGTGGTATTGCTTTACATTTTAAACAAAAATTATACGTGTAAGTGTAGGGGTACATAAGAGTTTTATAGCGTATAACATGAAATTAGTAATGCATGTGTATACAATGAAGTGGAAGTTATAATTAATATTCAAAATAGTAGAAAATTATTAATAGAAGATTGCAGCGACATAACGTTGGGGCCATCTTACTCTTCGACCAGACTTTGTGGTTACTGGATTCTCTTTGTTTGTGTTCGTCGATGTCGTTGATGATTGGAACTGACGCTTCGATGATTCAACGGTTTTCGCAGTATCTGTATGTACTGGCTGGTCGTAGGCTTCGATGAAAGCTGGTTTGACTCGATCGATGCTAATTACATCCGTTTTTCCAGCTTTGTCTACCGTAATAGTTTTGTCGTCTCTTTTAATCACCTTAAATGGACCATCGTAGGCGGGTTGTAAGGGACGTTGCACATTATCCCTTCTTATAAACACATGGGTACTGTCACTTAGTTGTTTGGGTATGTACACACGGCGTTGATGTTGTCTTGGAAGCGTTATCCTTAGACTACTCATATGCTGCTTAAGACGCTGTACATAGTCCGCTATATCAGTTGGGACGCTTTTACCTGCGGTGAAAAACTCTCCTGGCAGACGTAGTGTGGTTCCATAAACCAATTCTGCTGGGCAGCATTCTATATCTTGTTTGATTGTTGATCTTAAGCTCAACATGACTAACGGTAGCTTGCTGGCCCAATCATTATTGCTGATGACAGCTGTAAGAGAAGCTTTAAGTTGCCGATGCAATCTCTCTACCATACCATTCGACATCGGATGGTAGGATGTTGTGCGAATTCGTTTGATTCCGAGTAGTTCTGTGAGTTGTTGGAAGAGGCGGCTCTCGAATTGAGCTCCTCTATCGGTTGTAATATTAGTAGGTACACCATAATGGGAAATCCAATGCTCTACTAGGGTTTTTGCGATAGTTTCGGCTGTAATATCTTTTATGGGCACAGCTACAGGCCATCGTGTGAATCTATCAATGCAAGTGAAAATGTAACTGAAGCCATTCGAAACCGGCAGTGGTCCTATAATATCGATATGTACATGCTCGAATCTGTTATCGGGATGACGGAAATGACCTACTGTGGAACTGGTGTGGCGATGTATCTTAACTCTCTGACATTCTATACACGCTTGCGTCCAATTACGAATATCCCGATTCATACTTGGCCATACGAAACGTTCGCTGATTAGTTTGATGGTGGCCTTTATTCCGGGATGCGAAATATTGTGCATGGCTTCGAAAATGTTTCGCCTTAGCGGCTTTGGAATAAATGGTCTTGGTTGACCTGTAGAAATATCGCAGGTGATGCTTACTTCTTCCAATGGAGTTTCTTTGAGAACTAACGAGGTTGTATTGGCAGACTTTAGTCTGTTTAACTCGACGTCGATATTTTGTAGTGCTGCTAACTTGTGATAATCGATTTCAGACTGGATGAGAGCGTTGACCATCGTTCTGGATAACGCGTCTGCCACTTCGTTACTATTACCTTTGATATACTGTATGTTGGACGTGAATTGGGAAATAAATTCTAATTGTCGGATTTCCCTCGGCGAGTAGTTGTCCTGTTTGGCGTTCAATGCTTTTGTGAGGGGTTTATGGTCTGTATATACTGTGAAAATGGTACCCTCAATCATATGTCGGAAATGTTTTATTGCCAAGTAAATCGCTAGGAGTTCTCTTCCGAAAGTACTATATCTTGTTTGTGTCGGATTCAGTCTTTTCGAAAAAAATGAGAGCGGTTCCCATATGCCATTTACTAATTGTTGTAAAACGGCTCCTACCGCTACGTCTGATGCATCCGTCATGATAGCTAACGGTGTTTCGCTCTTTCGTCTAGTTAGTGTCACTTCTTTATTTAGTGCTTTTTTAGCGTTCTCGAATGCTTGAATCGCGTCTGGTGATAATTGGAATGTCCGTGCGTTTCCGCGTAATGCATCTGTTAGTGGTTGCAATATTGACGCGCAATTCGGGATAAATCGTCTGTAATAATTTATTAACCCGAGAAATCGGCGTAACTTTTTCCATGAGTCGGGTAGGGGATAATTCCTAATGGCGTCGACTTCTGTTGCTATTGGTGTGATGCCTTGAGAAGTTATATTGTGACCTAGGAACTGTAAAGATTCCTTTCCGAATTCACACTTCTCAATATTTATAGAAATACCATGTTCTCTGAGTCGTATAAATAATTGCCGTAGTTGTTGTATATGCTCATCTTTAGTGGTGCTAGCTACTAATAAATCGTCGATATACGCGTATACCCAGGTAAACCTCTAATGACCTGGTCGATAAACCGTTGAAAGGTTTGTGCCGCGTTAGTCAGTCCAAAAGGCATACGCAGGAATTCATATAGCCCAAATGGGGTTGTTACTGCTGTCTTCGGTATGTCTTGTGGGGCAACAGGGATGTGGTAGTATGCTCTGACTAAGTCGATCTTCGAGAAGATAGTAGTGCCCTCTATACTGTAGGTGAAATCATGGATGTGCGGTATAGGGTATCTGTCAGCTACTGTTTGTTTGTTCAGTGCTCTGTAATCTCCACATGGCCTAACCTCTCCATTCTTTTTCGGGGCCATATGTAGCGGGGATGCCCACGGGCTGCTCGATGGCCTTATAATGCCTAGCCTCATTAGCTTGTCGAATTCCTGTTTTGCGATGGCTAGTCTTTTGGGATCTAACCTTCGTGGTCTTGCATTGATTGGTGGACCATTCGTTACGATGTGATGCTGAATAGAATGTTTGAGATCCGCTTTATTGTATGTTACTTTTACGAGTTCAGGGAACTCCCTTAACAACAATTTATATGGATCACCACGACTTTTATCTATCACAAGGTTCATTGAAACGGCTTCCGTAAGTATTCCTCTTATCGAAGTGGTTTGACTGCCGTTTATAAGTCTGTGTCGTCTAGAGTCTACTAGCAGGTCAAAGTTACATAAGAAATCTATGCCTATTATGGGCATCGATACGTCTGCTATGACAAAGTTCCAGCGGTATGAAGCGCCACGTCCAAAATCTAGGGACAATTTCCGTTTGCCATATGTCTTAATATCTGATTTGTTTGCTGCTCTTAGCACTAATGACGGATTAATGTTTTTTCTTTCCTCGTTAAATGGAGGTACTACGCTAATTTCCGCTCCAGTGTCAACTAAGAATTGTGCGCCAGTGGTTCGGTCTTGTATATAAAAGAGGCGACTATTTTCAGGCATTATGTGCGTTGATGCCGTTGCCATTGATACTCGTGGGTATCGGTTACTAGCCCTGTTAAATCTACAAGGTTGTAGGCACTTTCTAGCCCTGTAGCCGAACATTTGATGATACCAACATATCGCGGGAGTTGTGCGTCGTCTAGAAGTTGACCGGGTCCTTTCACGCGAGCGATCTCGCGATGACCTTCGTGGCTTTTCTCTCTGCGTTAATTCTGTGAGTTTGCGGCATAAAACATTTATTTCCTTCTGTAGAGTATCAAGTCTATCGTCTACCGTCACGTTGTGTAGTAGAGGGCTTGCTTGCTTGCTTCTTTCGTATATTCTATCGGCTATCTTTGCTATATTGTCTAAATCAGCATCCGTATCTCCCACAGCTAGGATCTGCTGTATATTTGCCGGGAGTCGGCGGAGCCACAGTTGATAAAAGAGATTATTGTCAATGTGTCTATCGCCAAGTAGACTTTTCATATAATTTTTTAGCTGTGATGGGGTTCTATCTCCAATTTGTACTTGATTAAGGAGTTGTTCGACGGCTTGTTGGTCACTGAGAGAGAGAGTTTTAATTACTGCCTCTTTTAGCACGTCGTATGGTTTTTCTGTGTCTGGTTTTGCTAGTGCCTCTCGAACGCTGTCAGCTACTTCGTCTGGGAGTAGTGTGCTTGTCAGGCCGAACTTATCCTTTTGCAAAAGAATGCGGTTAGCGAGAAAATAATTTTCAAGTCTTATAAACCAAAGT